GTTCATGTCCTCTGCAGGGACTGGAAAACATCATTCTCAGCAAACTGACACAAGAACAGAAAACCAAACACCACTCATAAGTGGGTGTTGAACAATGAGAACACATGGACACAGCGAGGGGAACATCACGCACTGGGGCCTGTTGAGGGTGGGGAGGCTAGGAGAGAGATAGCAGGGGGTTGGGTATTGGGGAGGGATTACATTAAGAGAAATACCTAATGTAGGTGACGGAGGGATGGAAGCAGCAAACCAGCATGGCATGTGTATACCTATGTAACAATGCTGCACAATGTGCACACGTGCCCCAGAACTTAAAGTATAATTTAAAAAAAAAAAAAAGGAAAAGAAGGAAAATTAGGATGACTGCTTTTTGCTCAAGCAACTAGAATGTTAATATTTATTTTAATGTTTACTAATTTCCATTGTGTTTTCTTCATGTCCCTAATACTTTTTATTGATTTATTATTATATACATGTATTGCTTTATCTCAAAGCAGTTGGAGGTTCTCTATTTTTAAAAATTGATTTCTAGTTTTTACCTCCGTGGAAAGGAAATACACTCTGTGAATCTATTCTTGAAATTTGTTGATTTGCTCCAAAGCCCAATATTTCATCAGTTTTCTTAAACGTTCTGCTCACTGTTTAAAAATAAATTTAAATAACCCTTATTTAATAATAGTTTATATTTATCGGGAAGACAGAAACACAGAAATAGGAAAACCAAGTTTTCAAGAAACAACTTCTGTTTCAAGCAACAATTTCTGTTTCAAGGAATCATTTCTTTTTACAAGCTTTTAGAATCTCAAATTACTATTCTGTTTCATTCACATTTGTCCAATTCTTGTGTTTTCAAGCCTGTAATCTTTCATTGTTTAGAATTAAAATGTAAGGTTTAGAATTAAAATATAAGGATGTAGGAACCTGTAAATGATATTTTGAAAAAAAGTATCTTTAAAGTAATTTGTAAGAGAGCAACTTTATTACAGTGAATAGTTGGAAAACCACAGAGACACAGCCTTTGGTGTAAAATAAAGATGCGTTCCAAAGAACAAAGGAAGAATTCAAGTCTCATAGAAAAATTTCCTTCCCAAGTTCCCAGGTTTGTGCAAAATGAAGGATTCTAACTCGTTTAGTTTTGATGGCTGATAGAACTGAGCCCTGATTAGTTGAGACAGTTGAGCCCTGATTGGTTGAGGCTGGTGAGCCCTAATTGGTTGGTTCGAGTAAGCCCTGGAAGTCTCACAGTTTAGTCTATTATTAGTTTCTTACCTTTGTGTTTGTGTGCGTGTGTGTTTGTGTGTGTGTGTGTGCGTGTGTGTGTGTGTTTGATGAGAGCACATGAAGTCTATTCTCTTAGCAAATTTTTAATATACAATACAATATTATTAACTATAGTTCTGTGGGTAGAAATGGCTAAATTTATTTATCCTGCAAAACTACAAATTTTCACTTTTTAATCTACATCTCCCCATTTCCTGCCACCCCCCTCCACTCCTGCTAACCACCCTTCTACTCTGTTTCTGTGTGTTTGACATTTTTTCCTAGATTTTACATATAAGTGATATCATACAGTATTTTTCTTTCTGTGATTGGCTTAATTCACTTAGCAGGTTTATCCTCCAGGTTCATCCATATCATCATAATGGCATTATACCCTTCTTTTCTAAGGTGGAATAATATCTTAATCTGTGTATATATATCTATATCTATATACAGATATAGATATCAAATCATCCATCTATGAACACTTAGGTTGCTATTGTGAATAAAGCTGCAATGAACATGGCAGTACAGATATGTCCTGAAAAGATATACAAAGCCACACACATAATTTGAATGGGTAAAGTGGACCAAACCTATTTTGCTCCCTTCTAGGATTGGCAGCCTGTTGGAGTACAAGTGAAACATTTGTAAAGATTTGAGTTATGATTTTATTAGCTCTGTTTGTATGATGAATGATTCTCCTGAACTGCTTTCCCACCTCTAACCACAAAATATCACCAGCATCCATTGGAATGCAAATATTATCCTAATCACTGGGTTGTGACCAGTCTAGGTACTTCACAATAATCATATTTCCTTTCTTTAACTTCAGAAGAGAAACCAGTAGCCCATGTGATTTTTGGGAAAAGGGGTTTGAACAGAACTTTGGAGATGAAGAGTGGGCTATGAGTTAAAAGTCTAATATAATGCAGTGTGTCCCAAAGTGTGATATCCATGCCTCTTCAGGTAGATGACATGGTTTTAAGTGTTACACAGATTTCTAAAGGATTTTTTGTATAAATATAAGGGATACAATTGCAGTTTTGTTACATGGATATATTGCACAGTGGTGAAGTCTGAGCCTTCAGTGTAACCATCACCCAGATGGTGTACATTGTACCCATTAAGCAATTTTGATCCCTCACCCTCCTCCCACCCTTCCAAATCTCCAATGTTTATTATTTAACACTCTGTGTCCATGGAGGTACACAGAGTTTGAATAAACAATTTATTGTGGCACTGTTCACAATGGCAAAGACTTGGAACCAACCCAAATGCCCATCAATGATAGACTGGATAAAGAAAATGTGTCACATATACACTATGGAATACTATGCAGCCATAAAAAAGGATGAGTTCATGTCCTTTGCAGGGAAATGGATGAAGCTGGAAGCCATCATTCTCAACAAACTAACACAAGAACAGAAAACCAGACACCACATGCTCTCACTGACAGAGGGGAGTTGAACAATAAGAACTCAGGGTCACAGGGAGGGGAACATCATATACTTGGGCCTGTCAGGGGGTTGGGGTGGGGGGAGGGATAGCGTTATGAAAAATACCTAATGTAGATAATGGGTCGATGGCTGTGGCAAACCACCACAGCACATGTATACCTGTGTAACAAACCTCCACATTCTGCACATGTACCTCAGAAGTTAAAGTATTTGAGAAAGTATCCTAAATTTGGGTTACATAATCAATAAAAAAAGATATTTCATGTATAGTAGTAGAAAAAAATGTTATGCAGTTTAGTGTGAATTGAAAATATGTAAATAACATGTTATCTGAGAATCCATAGATATTATTGCTTACAAAATACAAAAATGTTATTTAAAATCAGTTAATTAAAATAGCTTTATTAAATAAATAATTGTATAGGTGATATCCACATATGACAAAAAAGGATCAAACTGTTAGTGGAATAATTAGTTAACATGCTGTCAAAATGCCTAGGAATCAGACAAAACTGGTTCAAAACCTCACTTACTAGCCATGTGACTTTAAGCAAAAAATAAGAATAATAACAGTACCTACTTCACTGGGTTGTTGTTAAGCTTAAGTGAGGAGCATTACAGTGTAGTGATGGGGTGCACAAAATCTGAAGCCAGATGCCCTGGTTTCAAATTCATGCTCTACCACTTACCAGCTAAGTGATGTTAAGCAACTTAAGCTTCATGTGCCTTAATTTCCCCATCTGTAAGTGGGCTTATTATGAGGGTTGTATGAGTTAATACCTTTGGAGTGCTTAGTAATATTCTAGTATATATTAAGTGTTCCTTGGAAGCAATCCTAGTGTAAGCATTATGTGTTTGTTAGATTAAAATAAGCATATAGGCTGAAAAGTGGCTGACCCCTATAATCCCAGCACTTTGGGAGGTCAAGGTGGGAGGATCGCTTGAGCCCAGGAGTTCAAGGTTGGCCTGGGCAACATAGCAAGACCCTGTCTTTTTAAAGTAGCCAGATGTGGTAGTGCAGACTTGTAGTCATGGCTACTCAGGAAACTGAGGCAGGGTGATTGCTTGATCACAGGAGTTTGAGGCTGCAGTAAGCCATGATTGTGCTACTGTACTCCAGCCTGGGTGATAGAGTGAGACTCTGTCTCAAGAAAAGAATAAAAATAAAAAATAAATGCCTATACAATTCCCAAAATTTAGTAAGTTCTCATGAAATGTAACCCATTGATGTTGCTTTGTATTTCCAACACTGGAAAGAAATAAGTGTACAATCAGCATTTGATTAATATGCAGCATTTAATTGTTCAGCATATACAGAGAGCTGGCAAATTCCAGCACCTCTCTGCAGTAAGAATTAAAAACAGGCCTCATGGAAGCTGGGTCTCCTGGAAGGACTGTCAAAGTGGGGTTAGAGAGAATCCTCAAGTTATTTTTCTGTATCCTGCTAAGGTAAGTTTGGGCCATTTCAATTTACAGATGAGGAAACTAGGTCTCAGAGAAATTAAGCAAGCTGCCAAGGGACATGTCCTTTGTAGGGACATGGATGAATCTGGAAACCATCATTCTCAGCAAACTGACACAAGAACAGAAAATCAAACATTGTGTGTTCTCACTCATAAGTGGGTGTTGAACAATGAGAACACATGGACACAGGGATGGGTAGCATCACACACTGAGGTCTGTTGGGGGAGACTAGGGGAGGGACAGTGGGGAGTGGGAAGACTGGGGAGGTGGTTGTGTCTAAAGACATGCCCATAGCTACACAGATAGAAGAACTTCCAGCCCATTCAGATAAAAACTTACACAAACTTCCAACCCACTCAGGTGAAGAAATAGGGCCTGATATAGAAATGCCTTTGTCCTTTACATAATCAACAGGCTCCCGGGAAAATATTTCTTCTTTTTTTGTGGGCATGAACATGGTGAGTTCCAGTAAACACTTTCCTTTCCCTTTTGAACTGTGAACCTGGCCTCTACAAATCATCACTTCAATTGCTGAGAGGTCTGGGCCAAACTGAGTAGCTCCTGTGAATCATTACTTCAACTCCTGATTGGTCCCAGGCCAAGATTCCAGGCCAAACTGAATCATACTTTCATACTTTCTCCAAGACAGCACACAGACTAAACACATTCCTTCCCCTGCCCAATCCATAAAAAACCCCAGACCCCAGTCTCACAGTGAACATATGCTCCCCATCTCCACTATGGAGAACTTATTTCTTTCACCTACTAAGCTTTCACTCCAACCTGACTCTTGGTCCACACTCCTTATTTTCTTAGATGTGAAACATGAAACTTCAGAAACTATTTCAAACAACAAAATACTACGTATTTTAATGCAATGACAAGACTACAACATATTTTGGTGCATTGGCTGGGAAAGAAAGGGATTCATCTAAAGGGTAAGTAAGAGTGGACATTTAACTCTTTACTTTCATTTTGGAAGCTTGTCATCAGTTTTTTTCTCTCAAAGTCAGCCAGTGCCTCCTCTCTCAATGAAACAAAATGAAGCAAAACAAAACACTGGGTCCCTATCAGCCAGTTAAAAAACTGATAGGGTGGCTCATAGCCTTAAGACTCAGGGGACAGACTTGTTGGAGAGAACTTTGTCAATCCCCATTCCTCTCAGGTGTTGGAAATGTTGGCTCTGTTCCAATCCAGTTTCCTTTCACACAGGGCCTAGCTGTCACATGGGACTGGAAAGAGGTCCTGCAGCAACTGAAGGTTTCTAGACAAGGCTACAGCTTGGTGTTGCCTGAAGGCCTCTGGACTAACTCCAGTCCTTGATACCCCATCAGGTGTTAGCGCCAAGACTTCCAGACTTTTCTATTGCATTTTCTTCCTTTCTTTTCTCCACTATCATGTCTCCTATCCCTTCTTTGTATACAATGATGTGGGTGTTTTCACAACCTGGGGATATAGTCTTGTTGGGTAAAGTCAGCCAGTGCCTTAGTGATCAGAAATGCAATTCAATGAATTATTGTCTCTGGGGTTTCCTTGAAATGAGGAAATTCCAAGACCTGGATCTGGAGACCTGTTTGTCTCCCAATGATAATATTTAATGGCGTTAGACGAGGGATTATTTCTCCCAGGACAGTTATCCCCCCTTCATTTAAACTTTTTCTTTTCCCATGTGAATAGCCGACATTGTTCAACAGAACTAGACAGCCTTCCTATGAAACAAGTTCATTTTCTTCTACTGAGAGACATACTGTGGAGATAGCCTATCAAGCCCTAGACATCTCTTTTTAACTTTTGCCTGAAAAGAATTTAGTTAGAATTTTTACCCAACATTTCAGACCTTACAGCTCCACAAAGAGGGATGGGATTTTTCTCCATGGGGAGCCTTGTCAACCCTTTGCCCCAAACCTCAAGTTCCCCAATTCTTTTCTCTCTTATGCCCTGTCAGTGATCAGGCCCCATGCCCTATTTGTAGTTAACAAAATTCCACTTTCAAGAGCCGGGAGGAAGCCATCCTGGCAACACAGATTTTAGCCTTTTTACTGCCCCTGTCAATGAAACACCAGCTATCCAATCCTTGTATTCTCTTGATGCACCTGTTCTACATCCAACTGCATTGTAATTTAAACAAAAAAAAAGGATTTTATATTTAGAAGTCAATTGGTTTCATTCTCTGGAACTCCAGTGTTTCACTGGGACCATAACAAGGGAAGCCAGAGATAGTATTAAGATACTCTCTCCATTAAAGACTCTTGCCCAAATCCAACTACAACATAATCTCTCCTAGGCCCCTGGGGTACCCTGGAAGCCTTTTAGGCTGAGTGGGTCTAGAAAACCAGCAGGGCAGAAAACTAAGTCCTTACACAGGTAGACATGACTAGTGCTGCCAGTTAGGTCCTCCAGATACATGGGTGAAGATCACACTTGCATCCATGGGTGGAACCTGTGTTGGTTATTGAGATCAGAAGACAAGGGAGGGAAGAGGAGAAGAAGATGACCTTTCTCTCTTTCTCTCCACCCTAAGTCACTCGGAAGGGAAAGAGAAGACTACAGGATGTCTTTGTCTCCCTTATCTTGCTAGATTTATAACAAACCTTGACAGTCTGCACTCCTCTCGAGTACATTCTGAAACACTGGAACTCCTCTGACCCTGAGAGTCGGAAGAAAAAACAAATTATATTCTATTATACAAGGGTGTGGTCATCTTACCAACTGTAAGACAGACAGGAGACCTGGCCGCCTCTGAAAACTAGATCTATCCAACTAGATCTTTTCTACACATGGGAAGATGAATGGTCCAAGCTTCCCTATATACAAACTTTATTTGCCCTGCAAGATAACCCAAATCTTTGTAAGTGTCGCAAAATTAACCCTGCCCTCTTAACAGCCATATCAGACAAGCCTACAAAAGATAATTCCCCAAAGTCAGAGAGACAAATACAACTTCTAGGTACCCTCCCTGACCCCTTTTCCAGGGCCCCAAATAGTCATATCATCAGCTCCTCCAGTTGTGCCACCCACGAAACCCCTTAATTCACTGTTATCTCTACAAGAAATGCCCAGCAGACATAGTACTACTAAGTTTCAAGTTCCCTTCTCATTACAGGACCTTAGACAAATAAAGGGGGACTAAGACAAGTTCTCTGATAGCCATGATCAATATATAAAGGCGTTCCAAAATCCAACACAAGTGTTTAATCTTACATGAAGAGATAGTATACTACTCCTAAGCCAAACCCTAACTACTACCAAGGAACAGACAACCCTACAGACAACAGAAACATTCAGAGATGAACATGTCTCCTATAACAAGTCCAAAAAAATCCAGTCAAAAGGACAAAGAGGTGAAAAAGGGACAGGATCCCAATTCCCAATAGGAAGAGAAACAGTGCACCTTGAAAACCCTAATTAGAGCCCTAGTGATTCCATAAATAAATGAAAGAAAAAAAAACACTTTCTAATGTACATATTAAAAGACTTACAAAAAAACAGAACCAAACATCATAATTATTCTAAATTGTCTATGTTAAATCAAAAACCAGATAAAAATCCCTCAGCCTTTATGGAAAGGCTGAGAAAAGCTTTAATGAAACATATCTCTCTGTCTACAAATTCAGTGAAGAACAGATTTATTACTCAAACAACCCCTCATATCATAAGGAAGTTACAGAAGCAGACCCTGTCGAAAAATATCTCTGATTTTTCTCACTCTCAAGTTAAAACTTTATAGTGTATAAATTGCACTCTCCTCTGTGCCTCAACCAAAGATGTCTCAAAAAAACACTGAAACTCTTTTTCATTTCTTAACTGAAAAAGAATATAGGGTTTCAAAATCTAAAATTCAACTCTGTCAAACTTCAGTAAAATACCTAGGTCTAGTCTTACCAGAATGGACCAGAACACCAGGCAAGAAAAAAAGTTAAGCCCATTTCCCCCTTTCCCTTTCCCAAAAATCTTAAACAGTTCAGGGGATTCTTAGGCATTACTGGATTTTACAAACTATGGGTATGTGGATATGGTGAAATAACTCACCCTTTATACTACCTCATAAAAGAATAAACCTTCAGACATCTAAACCTCACTCCCTGAAACTCAAAAAACCTTAACCAGTTAAAAAAAAAGCCTTACTTAAAACATCAGCCCTCAGTCTTCCAATAGGGAAGATATTTAATCTCTATATATCAGAAAGGAAAGTTTTAACTAACCGAAATCCAGCTCAACAACCAGTAGACTATAAAAACAACAAACTTGACTCGATGACTAAAAGATGGCCAACCTGCCTCCAAACAGTTACAACGGTGACTTTACTGGTGCCAGAAGCCACCAACTTAAGAAGAATAACTTACACCACACACAACATAACAGGACTTTAAAAGAAGTCTCTCTAACAATCACATTCTCAAATATCAAACTTTATTACAAGAAGAAACCCACAGTCCAATTGAAAACTTGCCCTTGCCTAAACTGTGCCACTTTCTCCCAGAAGAAACTAGAGAACCTGAACATAATTGTGAACAGGTAATGGTACAAACTGATAGAAGAAATTATAAGAATTACTGTTTATATTATCTGTAAAGCTTTAATGAATAAGAAATATTTTCTTAAAAAACACTCAACTTAATTAAAAGTGGATATCCAAACTATAGATATATTTAAAAGGCCTTTATGGTTTTTCTTCATAAATCTTGTTTTTCTGGAAAAGGTTTTTTTCTGAATGACTTTTCTCCACTCTGTCTTGCCACTCTTGGTACATACATGAAAGGCCCTAAGATAACTTCTGATGGCCTAAGACTCCTTGAGAAAACAGAAAAGGTACAACAGATCCCATTTTGAGAAAAATCTCTATTTTCCTCGTAGAAACCCTAGAATTAGAGACAGACAGATCCCTCTCAAAATCTGTTTTTGCCTTCCAACTATGCCCCAGAAGCTACATACTCTCCTATCCCTACTCTTAAAAGACTCCACCCTAAGTTCTGTCCTTTGAGCAGAGTGACACTGTCCATTTTCAGCTCTGCATAGTAGAAGCTGAAGTTTAACAGTTATCACAGACCAGTGGACACTATTGGTTTCAGATTAGTGTAAGGGTAAGTGAATCAGGCCCAGGAATTTGGGAAAGTTATGTGAATTGAGGGTTCCATGGAACCAGTGGCTTTGCTTCAGATGGCAGAGTGAGGGATAAATGTTCCCCCTCAGGGATAGCTGTCATTCTGTCATGTAAAGCCATGATGCTGCTGGAGCTAGGCTGGCTGCATTCCTGAATTCACCTTTTCTATTTGAAAAGTGAGGCTTATTGAATTTTTCTTACCTTGTTAGTCATTGAGTCTAAGTTGACTCACTCCCAAGTGCAAATATCAGTCAGGATAGTCACAAGGCCTCCTTGAGTCAGGTGTTCAATTTTGACAAGAGCCCAGTAGCAAGCTAATAGCTACTTTTCAAAAGAAGCATGCGAGGTAGCTTTATCAGGGGAACAGTGAGTTCAAATCTCCAAGAGGTAAGAGGTTGCCTCCCTTTCCCAGATGGTCAGATTGGAAAAATAATCAGTCACAGAGACTTGTAGCTTAAAGGGGTCATTAGGGTTGTGAGGACCCAGAGATAGAGAGTATGTCACAGCTTGATGAAAAGATTCCAATTCAGCCTTTTGGCTTGGGCCCCACTCAAAGAATGCTGATTTGAAGGGTAGATAATATGAAGGACCAAGTAGAATTCCCAAGAGGGACACATACTGTCTTTAATACCCACAGAGTCAAAGAAGGTTTTCTCTTTGATCCCTGGGGCCTAAGAGAAAACAGACGAGAGGAGCCCAACATTTAAACATGGCAACTCAATGTTTTTTGGTTTCTTGGATGAGGCCCTGGAACAGCAAAATAATATTAAATAAAAACTATAAAATCTGAATAAAGTATGGATTTTATTTCAAAATAATGTATCAATATTGGTTCAT